TCGATCCCCGACGGGGGCAGAGGATTTTTCCTCTAGCCTCTGCGTCCAGACCGGCTCTGGTGCCCACCCAGACTCCTATCCAATGGGTACCGGGGTCCTTTCCCGGGAGTAAAGCCGGCCGGGGCGTGATGCTGACCACTCACCCGATCTAGTGCCGAGGTCAAGGAAGAGAGGAGCTATACCTCCACTCACCCCAAACGCCTACATGGCGTATAGTGGGACAAACTATACTATATACAAGACAATACTATGTGCCCATGTCCTTTACAGTGATTTACGAACTTGTTTTATAATCTGTAAAACGCATTGGGTCCATAAACGTACCTTCTAAATGAACACGAACATTCATTTAACATAGCATTCCCGTCTGTGCATCACTTACAGTAAGTACACTACTTTAAAATCGTCATTTAAGATCGAAACATGTAGCAGTAGGAAAGGTCGGTGATATTTCAGGTTCTAATTGAAATTTCTTTTTGGTATGATGGCGGTAATCGACGTTTCAGAGGTGGTTACAGCCTCTATCTTCAGGGTCACGATGGCGGAGCGCGCCTCTGAACAAATCTCTAAACTTTTGTCAGACTGAACTGTTCAGCATCTCACAAGAAATCCCTGTCTGAGAATCTTTTATTCGTAATAAATGTTGAGTAGACTATCTCTTTGATAAGTGCTCCTGATCACACGACAGGATGCAAAATTTTTATTTTTAATTCATTTTGCTGTGACCTACGTTCATTTAACGATCGTACCACGTATTTGTTAACAAAACTTCAGAAAATGAGTGTACTGATATTTCAGGAGATAAATATCTCACTTTTCGTATGTGCCATGAACAACAGAATTATGCACGATGGTTGTGGAACATTGGTTTATACGCGGATAGTCATATTTAGACTCGTGTATCTATCATCAGCCCTGAGGATGGAAGCAGTATCTTTCTCCGAAACGTTGGTGTCTGCCTGCGAGTCCACACGGCGTCAAAGCCAGAGCAACATCATCCATTTTCACATCAGTATTGAACCTCAACTATCACGAAATATGCCAAAATCACACAGAATTTAAAATGTGCCTTACCAATCCATGAACAATCAGCTATTTTAGTGACCAGAATTCTAGAGAAATTCACTCGTTCTAGACTAGTGAATATCATTAAGAAATGTTTTTTGGAATTATATTTCCTTCAGTGTGACATATGTATTTTTTATTTGTATGGGATTCGTTAGGATTTTAAAATATATTTTGACTTTTTCATTGATAAATCTTTTATATAATATTTTATTTTCTTCAGTTCTAGATCACATACAGTTGATTCATGCTTCAAGGTGTGTAATGTCTTTCAAAGAAAAAGTTTATAATTTATCTTATTGAACTAAAGGGAAAAAAATATATAAATAACTTACTTAGTATTCCTACTCTTTAAGTCTGTTCTTACAATCCACAGTATAATTAAATTTGACTTGTTAACTGAAACCGCCTTTTAATAAAATTGTACTATAATTCAATTTAAAACGAACCCCTTCGGAAATGTGTTCTGCTCATGTAAATTGTAAACACTGTCTCCCTATTGCAGTAGCCGTGATGTCTTTCGGCCCCTTTGCGCCTCTCAGTAGTCGTAATGAAATTCAGGAGGAATTTAGACCGCCAATTTATTTCAAAATTGCAAATAAATTTTCGCATTTGTGTAAGTAGATTTTCGCGGCTTGAGTTCATTCTGTAACTTGGATTTCGGATGAGATCCGATGTCATACGTTGAATGTTACGTTATCATGTTTTATATAAATACAATGAAATTTTTACGTATATTTTTTTGTAGTTAGTTCAATTTTTTTTAAAAAATTCTTGAACGTTGGCGTCAGTCAGGGACAATTTGCGTCGTCTCAATATTTAATACCGTGTTTAATTTTACTTTTTAAAACCCTTTATACTTTCCTGTAGTCAGCGTCACGACCCGGCTAGAGGAAAGAATTATTTTCCCCGGTCGGGGATCGAACCCCAGCGCGTAGCCAGTCGCTATACTGACTCACGGGCAAGGGGACACATAAGCCAATTGCCAGGAATGTTGGTGCAACTGATAACGAACAGTCCGTGTTTCCCTCGTGCACTCTCATCGAGCAGAGCGAGAAACAAACATCGTCGAAAACAGAACGACTTCGCGGTGCACTCCAGGGTAGGCTACCCGGCAGGGGTCAATGCTTTTCCAAAGAATTCTGTTTTAAGACGATTTGTTGAGTCTGCTCATTTGAGCCCAGCTCATTTGACTTGAGGTTGGATCGGGAGAGATGAAATACATAAATCTAAAGGTACAAATCATATTCCGATAGAACTGAGACACAGATATCATTTTCTTAGATCTACGAACATTTTAATTGCAGGCTCTGAGTTGTCCACGCATGAGGAGACTCAGATAGAAGAGTCCACGAGCTGTGATGGTTTTCCTCTCTGCACGGGGGCCTCGAACTGAGACACAGATATCATTTTCTTAGATCTACGAACATTTTAATTGTATTAGGAATTAGAAAGGGTTGCCAGAAATGTATTGTTTTAGTATTCGTAAGAAGGATGATGAAACTGACTGTGGTAATTGTGTAAGGTTATCAGTGTTGTTAACTGCACACAAAATTTTTAGATGAAATTATTTTGAACCGTCAGTGTGTATTTTGATGTAATCGATCGGATATTCTGCATTTCTTAGATACTTGACAATGAGAAGGAGATTGAAATGTGGCGATATAATGGCTGTTTGCAGACTTAATGAAAGGATGTGTTTTAAGTTAAGAAGGAAATATTATGAAACATTCTCATTAAATTATGAGGACCAGTGGAAGTATTTAGACTAAATAAAATGCATTTAAATTAAACCTGTAGATATTTATTTGTCTGAACCATTTTTTGTAAGAGGAGCGTCTCAAATACAGAGATGCTCTATAACCATTGCTTGTCTGCTTTGCGAATGCGCCATTAGCAATGTCCAAGAACGCAAAGAGATGATAATTTCCTGCATGAGAATGTGAATATGTGGTCGTCTTATCACCTTACTGTAGAACAAACTCATTGTGGTGGCCTGAAGGTGGCTAATATTTTATTATTCGATACTGAGGCAAAGTTCAAATACAGTAATAAATCCTAATTACGTTTAAAATTAAACAAGAATTTGGGGGGGGGGTGGAATTAAATTTATAATTTTGGTTTCCCATGCGATACTTGAAACGTGTGTAGATTAAAATATACAAAAACTGCAATTTTGTCTGTTTTTTATGGATGTGAAATGAGGTTTCTCACATTAAGGGAGGAAGACATCGGAAGTAGATGAGTACGGGGTGTTTATGAGACCACTTGCAATCTCTTGTAAATTTTGGGTTTCATAAAAGCGAGGACATTTATTGACTGTTTTAGAGAAGGCAATAATTTTCTTATGAAGCACTTCGTTTCATGGAGTTAGCTATTGGAAATATCAAGATGGATCTTAGGGAGGTTGGCTTTGAGGATGACAAGTGGATGGAGCTGGCTCAGGACCGTTGCAGATAGCGGGCTTTGGCGATGTCGGTGTTGGACCTGCCAGGGAGTTAGTTAGTTAGTTAGTTAGTTAACTTAATGAGCAGCTCGTCTACCCACTCATAAAGGTTGTGCAAAATGTTTTTACTGACCACTCCTAGCCTCTAATTTCCTTCCTATGGTTTTGACAAGTGACGTCATCTCGGATGCCTTGGCTTCATTCACCGCAAAAGAAAGCTGTTTTGATGTGAGGCTAAAATATCACTGAATTATCCTAAATCCTTTTCACAGTTCAGAAAAATCTCATTATGACAACATTTTCCTTGTAATGATCGAACTTTTATGGAAATTATATCGCCTTGTTTGTCAGTGTCCATGCGTAGAAGAGATTATTGACTCATTCATCGTGGATGTCATAAGCGTAGTAAAGGGAGTGTTACTTGGTTCTGAAGATTGCACGTCTGTTGACAATACCAGCGAAGTTCTTAGCCGAAACAAGGAGCCGACTGTCCCAAAGTTTGTGCCTGGTAACGCATTTGTAAATCGCGGTTTTCTTTGTAAGGGCAAGTCTTTGACGCGTTCTCCGACAAAACTTTACACAAAATGAAATATTATTTACGAACAATAGTGTTTTAACCACAGTAAGGTGTTTGCGTGTTTCTAGGCGTTCTTCACACTTTAGCGTAAGCCTTATTGAATCGTCCGATACTTTTACAACAGTGACCTTTTAACATATTGTTATTTACAATGCCCTTGGATCACTGTTGCGAGAATGGCCTTTGATTCAATTGTTACTCTTTAAAATATTGTTATATTCCTCATTCCCTGGTTGCTCTCTTGACGTCATTACCCGTGATGTGACGTGAGGATCTTCATCATTGGAATCATTGTATACTAGACAGAGGACACTTTTCCAATCTTGTTCTTATTCTTGGACGTACATTCATCTTTCGGTAGAGACTGGGGAGTAGAAGTCAACGATGGGGGGCAAACACAAAGCTTCTTCGAGTGAATTCTTAAAATAATCCATTCAAAGAGGACGCCGAGCACATACAAAGACCTCGTTCACAGAATCGTTTGTTTCACATAAATTTATGGCACAATTATACCAAATTTAAGATTATAGGTAACGTTAAACATTTCGACGTGTGACTAAACTCATCACTGATCCAAGCTCTGCTGAAGGTTTGTTCACTGAAGCGAATGTTTTTGACTGTAAAGTGCTTTATGTTTCACACTGGAACGTGAATCCTTGGTGCGATATGAAAATCGCGTACTTCACTTTCTTTATAATTTATGCTCGGAGACCACGGAATTTTCATCTCAGTTGCACTCACGTTTCGAAGATACAATTAATCTTTAAGCCTTCCAGAAAGCACGAGACAGCTGACTTCTCAAGTTTAAAAAACTTCCGTGGAATTTAATGACACTGATTCCATCCGACCATTCTCGCTGGAGACTTAGGGTCGTCGAAATATGGTTTTGAGGAAGTGGCCGATTCTTTTAAAAATATTCATTAAGTGAAGATCGACGCTTGCAAAGAACATGGAGCGTCGTCGCACTATTTGCAGACCGTGATCCACTCCTCGGTGGTGCAGTTCTGACACACGACGTAGCAGCACCAGTGAAAGCGACAGTGACAGCGATCCGTCGTCTTCTGCTTGATGAGGTTGTAGCCACGACCGCAGCAGAGCGAGCCACACCCGTCGACGGCAGTGCTGGTGCGATTACACCGTCGCCCAGACGTTCCAGGGAAGTCCACGCTGGGGTCCTGTTCGCAGAAGTTTGGCGAGCGCTGATAGTAGAGGAGATCGAGGGCCAGGTCTCTGGGACGACGTAGGCGAGTTCGTCTCCTCGGTCTGGTCCTTGGTCTCGGACGAGGTCGTCGCCGACGGACCCCCTCCAGTAGAAAAGGCGATCCATTCCCTAAGTTTGACTGATCCACCAGCACGGCGGACCGGAACCTCTCCTTGAGAGCCTCTCCGACAACCCGGAAGTCTGGTGCTGCCTTCCAGCAAGTCTTCAGCTCGCAACTTCCGGACATCCCATGGCATTTACAGCGGACTTGCATGTTGGTTGCGACAGCCTGAAACATTGAGCCACTGGACAGAGCAGGCACATTCCTACTCCTTCGTCTGGGTCGACCCATTGCGAAGCCTGTCTACACATAAAAACGCTGGTACACGTTAATGACTTGAGCAGGATTTGAACCCACTACCCCAATGTTTGACGCGCCTTACACGAAGCGATTAAACTGCTTCATTTGTTACGAACGATGGGTCTGTGAGTATTTGCTAATATTTGTAGACAAATATTCTGATTTTAATAGAGTTTGGTATAAACGTTACATGGGTTCTTACTCGTCACTAAATATTAAGCTAACTACGAAATCAAAGACGACTTTTTTACACATCGGAGTGACAAATCTTCAGCTGACTGCGGTCGAAGGCTATTGGAAGGTCGAGGCTTATGTCGGAATATAAAAATAAAACTGACGATAAACAAATGGGATCGGACGATGCAGAATGCATTTTTGTTCCCTGTGGTTATGGTTAAGGGGGACCAACTTTACTTAAAGAAAGGTGGGAATACGTGAACTGTTTTTTTTTTTTTTGGTCTAAGTTTACGGGCCATGATAATGAGTCTTCTGGTTTCACAAAGACTGAGATTTATTGGGTAACTCAGCGACTATTATATTTTGAAGCAGGACTCTGGTCCACGCAGATAGATGTCATTGAGCATCGCGGCCTTCCAATTCCCCGCGATGAACTGTATCGACGTTGACTTAGTGTTCTAAGAGATCTTCGGAGATTGTGCAAGAATTTTTGTTGAGATGGCATCTATCGTTTATAGTCTGTTCTTATTCTTAAGTACACTGCCTTAATTCCAATGCGTTGTCAAAAAATATTCCATATGGATTCGCTGTCCTATTGTTAAGTTGTTACATTACAGATATGACTTGGCCGACAGATAGAAGCCTCGGTCACTGAGTAAATTTCCCATACTTATTCTGATTCTCTCTGGCGGAAGGGAAGGGCCGGATCTACCTACGGCTAAACATCACATCAATAACTTTGAATAGAGAATGTTGGCAAAACTTTAAATATGTTACAATAACCATAATTTTTGTATTTACAGAATATAATATTCCTATGAATTTGTTTATTGTTTTAAAGGGTTTAGATGGATGACATGTTTTCTATTTTTTTAAAAATATAATTACATTTATGTGAACCCAATTGTATTATTTTCGGATGTTGTGTTGGTCCTGATATAGGCGAAGTATATTAAAATATTGAAACCGTGGTTATGCAATACCTTAAATTATATCTGATCGCCTAATAAAGATTGAGTTATCAATGAATTGATACAAGAGAATAAAGTTAAAGTTCTTGTAGACCTGAAGTAAGCTGTCTCGGCTGCGCGCCGTTAAGGCGCTTGGGAGGGGAGAGATATAGCTCATACTCGTAGCTAGCATGCAAATTCTTTCGCGTAGTAAAGAATATGTATTTAAAATGAAAAAAAAAAAATTACAAGGGTTTTAACGCGAGGAGTAGTTTCAAAGGCACGAGCCATACATTTCGATTCCTTAGTCCCGTCAGATGAGTTCGTCTTTTAAATATGCCTGCTTATAATTTATTCCATTTCACCAACACTGCACACCTACAAATTCTGAAGTTTAAACGCTCCATTTATAACGTAAACTTTAGAATTAATCAATGTTAAGTGCAAAGTTTAATATGGAGCTAGGACATGCTTTCACGAAAGGTCGAGAAATGTTCGCCTTTCGATTCCGAATCGATTATGACGTTACTTGTCATGTCTGCTCAATCATACACGCATTTGAGTTACGGTCGGGTTACACATGAACGTGGTAGACGGACACACATCGGACGGGCAGCTCGCTATTGTGATCGCATCATTTGAAGCGACGGATAAATCTTCTGGCACATGAGCATAAATTATATGCAGACATTTCTTTAGTGCTTTAGATGACAGAACAAGTTTTACGGTAACATGGGACTTAATATTCACTCTTAAGGCCGCTCCTAATGGTTTCTTGGGCAAGTAATGACCTATATATTCGTTGAAACTTTTGACGCTTATGGAGGGAGGAGTTGAAAAACGCATCTGTAATATTAGTCTGAAAGTTCCGCGTCTCAGGTTTTCGCCTGTGTGGAGGTTAGCATTAAGCTGATCACGAAATCACTACTTGTTTCAGGAAAATTAATCTTAATTCTTTGTGGCTTACATGTAATGAAGTCTGATAGATTGGAGCACCTTACGAAAATCTTAATGTCCTTCGTAAAATTATCGTTCTTATATAGTACGTAAAAGTCAGGTGTTTGCAAATCCCATTTCGTACGTAAAAATCAGGTGTTTGCAAATCTCATTTAAGATAAAGCTCACTTGCGTTAGTGGTCTGTTTCGTAATATTGGTAGATTTTATAAAGCAAATAAAATATTTAAAAGAATAGGGCCTATTTTCATGTATTGGCCTTCCGAGTTGCAAAGTACTGTAGACTTGAACATGTCTGCACGGGGTTAGAAATCAGAAAACTGGCATACGTGTCTTCAGTGTCGCGAGAGCCTCAAACCTCGTGTTGCCTTCATCAGTCGCTCTGACTTTAATATTTTTCAGAGGGCTGTCTCATCGCCTTTGAAGGACCGCATGTCGCCTTGCAAATTTGCACATGGCGTTGGGCGACCGGTGCCGAGATTTATCAAGTAATCTTCTTCACCTCAGGTTTTACCACAAAAATTTTCTGAACATTTCTCGTCTCTTTAATCGTCACACGATTAATGTAAAAAAGATTAAACAATTATGGATTCTCCTATTCTATTTGTGGTCAGGATTTCTGTGGGAACATTATGTTAAAAGTAAGTGCCGAGTATACTTGAAATAAAGCAGCAATAGTATTTAGAATTATGTACAGAAATGCTCATAAATACGGCAGCGAAAATCCCACCACGAAAGGGGCTGTCACGCGGTCTGCAAAAAGGAATTGTTAAAAACCAGAAAAAAGAAACTTTACCCCTTGAGATACGTGTGAGACTTACCCGTATGACAGTAGTGTCAGAGAAGTTGCCTCACTGCACGGGGGAAATGGCTACGTTGTTGGCATTTTGGGATGAGCAGTCTACACTTTGTGGCCCTCAAGCTGACTTTTAGCTCATAGAAAAGTTGTCGAAATGGCTTTACGGGACAGAAAATGTCTTAGAAACAATTTTAAGTAACTACAAACGCGCACTTTTGCTGTTCCTGCCAAACGCTTCGTAATGACGTATGGGGGGAGTGTAGGAAGAATTTCGCCCGTTTTCAAGTTTGGTTCTGAAAAGATGTGGACGGCCAGCTTTCTGCTTCTTTGGGTCAGCCGTCTTTATCCCTTGGCTAAGACGCGAACGAAGGTCCAGAACCGCGGCTAGTCGGTCTGGACGTGTTGGCAAGAAGATTACTTGCCTCTGCCAACAGTCGGAACTGGCAGCTGGTAGATTTATCTTTTGAACCGTTGTTCAAATCATCAACGGCATTATTACCTAATATTTAAGTTTCAGACACCGAAATTACGATTTCCGGAGTTTATCTGAGTTCTTATATCGTTGAAGACGACTGGTGTTGGGAGGTCGTGCAGGCGCCGACACGCGGTAATTCAATTCTTGCAAACTTAACAAAATTTTCTTTTCCATAAGCGCACTTTTGCTGTTCCTGCCAAACGCCTCGCAATGACGTATGGGGGGAGTGTAGGAAAAATTTCGCCCGTATTATAGACGTATTTCCGTTCTATTGAACTATCTTCAGTTCGTGCGATTTAAATTATATTTGCTGAAAATTCCTTAAAAATTCGTCGTAGTAAATAATTAGGAAAACGTCGAGTACATAAAATTGTTTTAAAAATTTGTGGTCGTTGTTTCACACGCATTTTTATCTTGAGATCGAGGTAACGTCGAATGACACATCCGGACGTGGCAACGACTTTAGACGCGAGAGTCTTAATGTCTAATGTTTGGAATTAACCGTGGCCAGATAGTTTCCAGCCGCTGGTAAATACTATAATTTTTTTTAAAGTCAGGCGATGTCCACAGGCGACTTAAAATATCGTAATACGTCCACTTCGCTCTAAAGTGACTTGCGTGAGTGCTTAATTATATTCATCAAGAAATTAACTTGAGACAACAGCGTTGTTAGCCCAGACCTGAGAGAATTGCCTCAGGTAATCAATTCGTAAAGAGATTCTACTTAATCTGACGTTGAATCTCATCTCGCAAATTATCAGAGCTGCTTTCTGTAACCGGAAGTGGAGGGGGGGGACGGCTTCTGAGCACCGTCACACCTCAGATTTCTACCTCGCTGTGTATTATTCACAGGCTCTGAGTTGTCCACGCATGAGGAAACAAAGAGTCCACGAGCTGTGATGGTTCTCCTCTCTGCACGGAGGCCTTACATACCTCACGCCACTTTTCTGACAAGTCAGTCACGTGGTGTTACCTTTAGCTGAACATCACTAACCAACACGAAGTAATGGGGATATCTCGCGGGTGGTCCGAATGTACGTACATACACGCGCTAACGCAGACACCACAAAGTTGGTTCCGCGTGCCCGGAAGGGGCCCTCGTCATAATATAACATCGGTAAAAACCTTGTTTATTTCCCTTTGTCTATGGTTCGTAGGCACGAGGGTTGCCTGAGAAGGCGAGGCATTCTTTAGAAGCGCGTTGTGTTTTTGGAGGGGCCACCGGGGTGGCGACAAACTCTTTCTTTGTAAAACTAACAATTTCTATAGCGTGGCTTATAACAGCGTTATAGGTCACAAACATGACGTGACCACAACCCCCCCCCACCCCACCCCACCTTTACATTTCTTGTGAGAGATAATTAACGCGTGAGAAGCCATCAGAAAGGCGTGTGAGCACTGAAGAACGAAACCTTATACTTTCTTTTATGTTCTCTCTGACCGTATATTATGTCCAACATGTAGTTTCTTTTGACACCCGCGTCCAATCGAACACCAGTTCATGATGGGTAGATCTCCGTTCCGATTGGCGGAGACTCTGTATCCCAGCAGAGGCGTAACTCAGCACCACGG